AAAAAAAAAAAAAAAAAAGAAGAAGAAGAAGAAGAAATAGAAGATCTGAACAGACCTGCAGACCTATAACAGATTACACAGATTAAATCAGTAATCAAAACCTCTCAAAATGAACAACCCAGACCAGATGACTTCACTGGTGAATTCTACCAATAGCTTAAAAAAGAATGAACATGAATCTTTTACCTGTTCAAAAATATGGAAGGGGAGGAAATACTATTTAAATAATTTTATGAGGCCAATATTGCTCTGAGGTCAGGAGTTCGAGACCAGCCTAGCCAACATGGCGAAACCCTGTCTCTACTAAAAATACAAAAAAATTAATCAGGTGTGTAGGCACATGCCTGTAATCCCAGCTACTTGGGAGGCTGAGGCAGGAGAATTGCTTGAACCTAGGACACGGAGGTTGCAGTGAGCCGAGATTGTGCCACTGCACTCCAGTCTGGATGACAGAGCAATAGATGAAGACATAACAAGAAAATAAAATTATAGACTAATATTTCTTATGGACATAGATGCAAAAATTTTCAGCAAAAATATTAGGAATACATTTTACCAAGGAGACTCAGACTTATGGGAAAGTTTTTTGAGTTTTTTTTTTTTTTTTTTTTTTGAGACAAAGTCTTACTCTGCTGGTCAGGCTAGAGTGCAGTGGCACGATCATAGCTCACTGCTGTTTCCTGGGCTCAAGTAATCCTTCCAACTCAGCCTCCCAAGTAGCTGGCATTACAGTTGCTCACTACCACACCCAGCTAATTTTTAAATTTTTTGTGGAGATGATGTTTCAGTATGTTTCCAAGGCTGGGCTTGAGCTCCCGGGCTCAAGCAATTCTCCCACCTTGGTGGCCTCTGACAATGTTGGGCGTGAGCCACTGCTTCTGGCCTACAAAAGTGTTTGAAAGAAATAAAAGGCCCTCTCTAAATGGAAAGACATCCTAGGTTCATGGATTGGAAGACTTTCTATTGTTAAGACAGCAATACTCCCCCAAAGTGGTCTAGAGACTCAATGCAATCCCTATCAATATTTTAACCTATTATTATTTTGCAGAATAAGAAAAGTTCATCTTAAACCAAATACCCAAAAACAATCTTGAAGAAGGAAAACAAGGTTGGATGATTCACACTTACTAATTTCAAAACTTACTACAAACTGACAGTAATACTGGCATAAGGATATAACAGAATAGAATTGAGAGTCCAGGAATGAACCCATCCATCTTATGGTCAGTTGATTCTCAACAAGGGGTGCCAAGACTATTCAATGGGAGAAAGAATAATCTCTTCAACAAATGGTGCTGGGATTACTGGATAGTAACATGCAAAATAAGGAAGTTGTGACCCTACCTCACAGAACAAACAAAAATTAACTCAAAATAAGCCAGTGACCTAAGTTTAGAAGCTAAAACTAGAAGGCTTAGGAGGAAACAGGGGTAAATCTTCCTGGTCTTGGATTTGGTAATGAATTCTTTTTTTATTTTTATTTTTGAGACAGAATCTTGCTCTGTCATCCAGGCTGGAGTGCAGTGGCACAATCTCGGCTCACTGCAACCTCTGCGTCCCAGATTCAAGCAATTCTCCTGCCTCAGCCTCTCGAGTAGCTGGGATTACAGGCATGTGCCAACACACTTGGTTAATTTTTTTTTGTATTTTTAGTAAAGAAAGGGTTTCACCATGTTGGCCAGGCTGGTCTCGAACTCCTGACCTCAGGTGATCTGCCCGCCTCGGCCTCCCAAAGTGTTGTGATTACAGGCGTAAGCCACCACCCCCATTCAACGAATTCTTAAATATGACACCTATTGCACATGCAACAAAAGAAAAAATAGATAAAATAAATGTCTTCAAAATTTAAAACATCTATTCATTAAAATGAAAAGACAATGAAGAAAATGAAAGACAGTCTACAGAATGGGAGAAAATATTTTGCAAATCATTTATCTCACATGGTCTACTCTCAGAATGTATAATGAATGCTTACAACTGGACAACCAAAAGGCAAACAGCACAATTCAAAACAGGCAAAGGATTTGAATAGACATTTCTCCAAAAATGACATGCAAATGGTGGGCAAACACATAAAAAGATGTTAAACATTATTAGTTATTAGGGAAGGGCAAATCCAAACCTCAATGAGATATCACCTCACCAGTAAAGCAGCGAAAATACCCAAGCGTAAATACCCAAGGTTCATTGTCTCACACCAGGGAAACTGAGGACGTGGACACATAAGAAGTGAGTTTAAGAGTGGAGACAGGGCTCCCAAGTGGGGCTTCTGGTTGCATGGTGAAATGCACGAAGTGTTATAGATGTGCTTGGGTAGGTGGTGTCTGATTTATATAAGGCTCAAAGATTGGTCAGAATAGGTGAGTCATTTACATGGAACATGAAGAAGCTGGCTGCCCCAGCCTAATCTTTTATTATGCAAATGAATTCTTTACCTGGCTGGTTCCATGTTGCCTGCTTCTGTACTGTACACGTGGCTGATGAAGATAAGGGAAGAGGGAGCTTCCGTGTTGAACATGCCTGGCCCCCAGGTAGCCTTTTCCTATTGGCACAGCTGCTGGCATTCACCTGTGCCAGCTTCCAGCTTGCTTCTCTATGTCTGCAGCTTGATTTTTCAGGCTGCTCGTTGTTAGACAAGAAATGATTTGGGGGCTGTTTTTTATTAAAAGGGAAACCTTACTGAGGACTCTCTTACCTTTGCTAACTGCCTAAATAATTTCTTTTTCACTCCTGTATCACTGGGATGAAGAGAGGTAGGTTAACAGGTACAGACATACAGTTAGATAAAAAGTGTAAGTTCTATTTTTTTTTTTTTTTGAGACGGAGTCTCGCTCTGTCGCCCAGACTGGAGCGCAATGGCGTGATCTCTGCTCATTGCAACCTCCGCCTCCCGGGTTCACGCCATTCTTCTGCCTCAGCCTCCCGAGTAGCTGGGACTACAGGTGCCCGCCACCATGCTTGGCTAATTTTTTGTATTTTTAGTAGAGATGGGGTTTCACCGTGTTAGCCAGGATGGTCTTGATCTCCTGACCTCGTGATCTGCCCGCCTCGGCCTCCCAAAGTGCTGGGATTACAGATGTGAGCCACCATGCCCCGCCCAAGTGTTTGACAGCAGAGCAGAGTGACTATAATTAACAAGAAAGTATGATATATTTCAAAGTAGCTAGAAAAGGGGACTTAAATTGTTCCCAACACATAAAAATGGTAAGTACTCAAAGTGGTGGATACCTCAGATGCCCTGGCTTGATCGTTACACATTCTAGGCAAGCAACAAAGTATCACATGTACTCATAAATATGTAAGATATTATGTATCAATAAAAGCAATTAAAAAACAGAACCAAAGAAAATAAAACGGAAGTAACCAGTTTTGCTGAAGGTGTGGAGATGATAACCCATGTATGTTTCTGGTGGGGATTTAGGACGGTGCAGCCGCTTTGGAAAAACAGTTTGGTGGTTCCTGCAAAAGTTGAACATAGAATTACCATATCACCCAGCAGTTCCACTCCTTAGTAGATACCCCAGATAACCGAAAACAGTTATTCAACCCAAAATGTGTCCACCAATATTCATAAGAGTACTATTCACACCAGCCACCTAAACCAAAAATTAAATTAGAAGTCCTGGCTGGGCGCAGTGGCTCAAGCCTGTAATCCCAGCACTTTGGGAGGCCGAGACGGGCGGATCACGAGGTCAGGAAATCGAGACCATCCTGGCTAAGACGGTGAAACCCCGTCTCTACTAAAAATACAAAAAACTAGCCGGGCAAGGTGGCGGGCGCCTGTAGTCTCAGCTACTTGGGAGGCTGAGGCAGGAGAATGGCGTGAACCCGAGAGATGGAGCTTGCAGTGAGCTGAGATTGTGCCACTGCACTCCAGCCTGGGCGACAGAACGAGACTCCGTCTCAAAAAAAAAAAAAAAAGAACCGGCCCCCAAAAACCATCTAAATGGGCTTCCCTTTTGGCCAGGGCACTCTCAATTTAACCAGAAAGACTAGTTCAGGCTATGGTGGGAAGTGGGGGATCTGACATGCCTCCTTATGCCCTCCTCCCTTTTGGAGTTCAGGAAAAGCCAACCAGCATTTAACATCAACATAGACCTTTAGTCTAATAAGAAACATTTACAATCTATTCTCTCTGAAGCCTGATACCTGAAGGGTTCGTCTGGATGATAGAATTTCGGCCTTCACAGCCCCTTATTGTAATCCAGACATTCTTTTCTATTGATAATAACTCCTTCAACCAACTGCCAATCAGAAAAGCTTAAATCTACCTATAATCTGGAAGCACCCACCCCACATCTCCACTTCGGATTGTTCTGCCTTTCTGGAGTGAACCAATGTGTATTTTAAATGTATTTGATTGTTGTCTCACGTCCTCCTAAAATGTGTAAAACCAAGCCAGGCACTGTGGCTTACGCCTGAAATTCCAGCACTTTGGGAGGCCGAGGCAGGTGGCTCACGAGGA